GGGGGGGACTAAAAAAGCACCCGGGCGAGGGAGAGAAATAAACTAGTCCTAAGAAACGAACAGGCCTTTATTGCGCGGTCTGAGAGGGATGCCAAGTGACCAAGGGACGCAGGGAGAGGATCGAAATTGTGCGGGCAATTGGGGGGGGGGGTCCTTCTTATAGGGGTCCTGGGGAGGACTAAGATATTTTTCGGAATTTGGGGTGTTAAGTTAGGTTTGGGCTATTTTGATCAGGCTCAGACCCTTATCAGGATCCATTGTCTGGTCTGGTGGTCTTTGATATGACCAGCTAAGATGTTATCAGGTTTCTAAGGAAGTGATCAAGCCTGGAAAGGAGGGGGTGGGGGCAATTGCCATATTCTTCCTCCAAAGTCATTGTACAAAACCGGAATTATATGAGACTGTGTCACGAGATTCAAATAAATGTCTTAGCAAACCTCAAGTTGGAGTACCATCCAAGGGAATCGTTCAAGTGGCAAGTGTTAAAGAAATGACCCATCAGCAACTGAGAAGGTGAAAAGAAAATCGGGTGACCGATTTACAAAGAAGAACGTCTCTCCTCAGACTTCAGTAACCTCCTAATCCCGTTTCCATTCTTTCTTTTAATTATTATTATTACATTCCCCACATTGTAACTGCTTTCTTACCACTTCCTCCCTGTAATTTTTGTTTTCTTCGTTCCTCTATCCTCTCTCTGCCTTTTGGGTTTCCTCCGTGTGCACATAACACCCTTTTAACTAAAATGCTTAATCATCCGAAGGAGTCCCCCTTTAAGTTGTTTACTTTATATAGCTGCCCATTGTGTACCTGAAAGTTGAGTTTCAGACCCAAAGGGTGGACCATAGTCTCTGCAGTTCCATCAGTTTCTGTTACACCAGTAAGCCTGGTCATTTTTCTGTTTGTGAGTCTTGTTTCATATTTTGCTGTGTCCAGTCAGACCTCATGCTGTGATCCCTTTTAAAATGATCAGCAGTGGTAGCTGGGCACCATCTGGTTCTTCTGGTCTCAGGGTGGGGACGGCTGAGTCTCTTACTCGTCTGAAAGAATTGTTTTAGCACATCATTGTTTTCCTTCCATCTTCATTGTTCCACATAGGGAGAAATCAGTAGCTGCACCTTACATGCCTGTTCTCGACCTCTTAAAGACCTCACTCACTAATCAGCAAAGCAAGATGTAGAACACCTGCTTGTGGACTGGGATACGCCAGTTGATCTTGAGGTCCACTGAGTGTATGGGCCCAAGTGCAATCCCTCAGGCTACACGGTTCTAACGACATTTATATCACTTGCTTCACCCTTGCCCATTCCCTGTTCTACACAGGAATAGCCTCATGCCCCACTCAGGCAGAGTTCCCGCAAAGGTTTCTCAGCACACAGAATCAGTTGCAAATGTCTTATGCCTTCATCTGCAATTCCTGAATACCCTGTCTCTCTGGTCTATACAGCTTTCTCTCCCATCCCCCCATTCCTGATAGAAGCTGGCTCAGAAAGGGTCATTTCAAGGATGTGGGGAACATGGGATCTCAACCTCATTGTATTCATGAAGGAAATCATCTCTCTTGCAAGAGTGGACACTTGGGCAATCAATAGCATTTCAAGAAGTGGTATTAGGCAAAAGGAATAGAGAGAATGAATAAACTTGGGGGACTCTTAAGTTTTGTTTTTGTGAGATACCATTGAGTCAACTGACTCATAGCAACCCTATGAACAACAGATCTGAACTTCCCCTATTCTGCACCATCCTCTTGTTCTCTGTCAATCCATCTTTTTTTAGGGTTTTCCTTGCTTTCTCTGACACTTCACTTTTTGCAGCATGATATCTTTTCCCAAGGACTGGCCCCTCCTGAAACTATGTCCAGAGTATCAGAGACAAAGTTTCCCCATCTTTGACTCCAAGGAGCTGCACTTCATACCTGCTTGTTCTTATGGCAGTCCAGGAGATATTCAGTACTTTTCCCATCACAAGTCAAGGCCTTGCTGTTGCTTCTGTCATCCTTATCCACTAACTTTCAGATGAATGGCAAGCAATTCAAAAGACTCTGGCTTTTCAAAACAACTATATCATCTCCCCCAACAACAGTAGCAAAGTTCAATAGGCAGCAAACAACAAATGCTGATGAGATTGTGAAGAGATTGAAACATATTCACTGCTGGTGAGAATGCAAAACTGGTGAGAATACAACCACTATGGAAGGCAGTCTGGCACTTTCTCAAAAAGTTGGAAATAGAAATAACATGAGACCTGGCAATTCTGTTACTGGGAATATACCCTAAAGAAACCAGAGCTATGATTCAAAGTGATGCATGTGAACTCATGCTTATTGCTGTGTTATTCACAATAGCAAAGACATGGAAACAACTCAAGTGTTCATCAAATGAATAGAGAGAAAAACTATGGTACATACAGTGGAATATTGTGCAGCATTGAAAACCTATAAACTCATAAAACATTACACAACATGGGTGAGCCTGGAGGACATTATGCTGAGTGAAATATTTCAGTCACAAAAGGACAAATACTACATAACACTGCTGTTATAAAATAGGACTGACATGAGGAATTGGGAGAATAGGAAAAGAGTAGAGAGATAATGAGCACTGCATTGAAACAGATGAGGGGGAAAACTGTCCAAAAGGAATGTATGATTAGGAATTATATGTATGAAAATCTGGAATGATGTCATTTCTTCATTTATCACAATGTTGCCTATTGGTCCAGTGGTGAGGAATTTTGTTTTCTGAATTCAGCTTGAATTTTTTTAAGTTTCCTGTCACTATGTTGTTTCACCTGTTTTTTAAATAATCTTCTGCAAGATATTACTTGCATGTGATATTAATAATGTTGTTGTGTACCAGAGTCAGGCCATCCAGCAGATCTTCAGAGGCAGTAAGTTGTGCAGGAGGAGACAGCCCTTCCTTCTCCCATATAGCAACTGGTGGTTTCAAACCACAATACTTTGTGTTGGCACTACAGTCCTTGCCACGAAGCCACCAGAGACCCCGATATTAATGATATTGTTGTTGTTGTCAAGTGCCATCGAGTTGTAGACGACTCATAGCGACCCTATGAATTAAAGACCTGAACACTTAGATAACTTTCAGTTTCTTTAATGAATTTATTTTATTTCTTATTTATTTATTAATGATAGTGTTTTATAATTTCCACATCCTGTTGGATCACATGTTTGGAGAACTGGAACAAATATGGTCTCTTTAAGTCACTTGGTCAGGTAGCTGTCTTCCAAATTTCTTTGCAGAGATGAGTAAGCTTATTGAGACTGCATCTGTTGAAATATGTCCATTAGTATTTCCTCAATTCCTAGGGCCTTATTTTTTTGCCACTATCTTTAGTGTAGCTTGAACGTCTCCCTTTATTACCATGAGTTCTTGGTTATGTACTACTTCCTGAAATTGTTTAGTGTCAACCAATTCTTTCTGGTACAGTAATTCTTTGTATTCTTTCCACCTTCTTTTGATGCTTTCTGTGTCATTCAAGGTTTTTGCCTATAGAATCCTTCAGTATTGCAACTTGAGGCTTAAATTTATCTTTCCTTTCTTTCAGCTTGAGAAATGTGTGTGTGTGTGTGTGTTTCTCCCATTTTCACTTTCTAATTCTAGGTCTTTGAACATTTAGCAAAGTTACAATATTTGCCTTATCATCTCAAGCTGCTCATTATAATCTGTTCATTTCTTTTACTTCCGTATTTCTTACCTTTGTTTTGGCCGATATTCTGGTGCAAGTTTTAGAGTCTCTTTTGACATCTATTTTGGTCTTTTCTTTCTTCCCTGTCTTTGTAATGACCTTTTGCTTTCTTTATGTATGATGTGCTGAATGTCATCCCGCAACTCATCTGGTCTTCTGTTATTAGTATTTTGTGTATCATATCTATTCTTGAGATGATTTTTAAATTCAAGTGGGATAGGCTCAAAATAATATTTTGGTTCTTGTAGACTTGACAATAAGTAAGTCACTGTTCCATAGTCAACACCAGGCTTTGACGTTGAAATTGAGCTGCTTCAATGATTCTTTCTAAGATCTAGTCAATCTGATTCCTGTGTAGTCCATCAGATAAAATACATGTTGTACAGTTGCCCTTTATTTTTTTTTTACAAAAGGTATTTGCAATGAATAGACGGAATACCAATTGACATATTTCAGCTAACAGATGCTGCCCTGGTTGTGCTCACCAAGTTGTGCCAAGAAATCTGGAGAACAACCACTTGGCCAACTGACTGGAAGAGATCTATATTTGTTCCCATCCCAAAGAAGGGTGACCCA